TTTTTTTTTTTTTTTGGCACCACCAGCGTGTTTCCTACCACACAGAGCGATGGTGGTAGTAATCCTACTGTCTCCTGGCTCCTCCGTGTCTCCGTGTGTCCTGGTGCCATATGTGACAGGGCAGGCGGCGCCCCGGTTTGTTTGTGATGTGATATTGTTCACTGAGATGCCTTGAGATGAGAATATATTTTTTTATGAATAGGGAGGAGGGTTGTGGAAACAGCTGCATGCCAGACCAGTTGGCACTGATGGCTATAGTAAAGTTTTTTTTTTCTTCCTCACTTGTTTTTATATGGCCCTATTAAAATAAGCTGATGCTAGCACTCTGCTACCCTGTGTACCCTCTCAGGGATACTTCGACTTACACTTTATGTCTCTTTCTCCTCTTGCATGGGAAACTCTTTCTAAGCTGCTTTCTTATAGTTTATATTTAATTAACAGCCTGATGACTGTTAGTTTACATGTTTATTCCTTATTTTTAGCAGTTTTTGCTGCCATTGGCTGGCTGCACGATGCCACACCCACACTGCAGTTTAAAGGACCAGTGGGTTGAGTTTAACACATCCACAGTAGCTGAGTCTCTTTTTTGTAAACGTGAAAAAGTAACCTTTACATTATTGACCTAGAATCTGATTCTTCATGACATACAGTAGATGGATGGTTAAATCCTACAAGTGGCATTATGGGAATATGAGTTTTCAGAAACTCTAAAACTTCTTTCTTATCTTCTCACTTTAAAAAAAAGTCACTGATGATGAAGAAATAAATGAACTAATAATATTTGGTTTCGTTTTCTACTCAAGTGACAAAAAAAAGAAAAGAAAAAAAGACTGAACATGTCTGCTTATTATTGCTCGCCATCAACAGGCAGGTAGTTGCATCTTTGCAGGTCAGCACACGTTTCTGTTAAAAAGGAAATTCTCATTAATTACTTGGTGAGTTATAAATACTCAAAGTAATCCCTGGATGTACAATTACAACAGATTCAGCCTGATTCAACATGGCCGCCACAGCTTAGCAACCATAGCCAAAACCAAATGACTCTAATTCARTCAATTTGGCAAATAATAAGCTAAGGTTTAGTGAGGTAGTAGCTGAGAGTCCTCCCCAAAACATACGTTGATGGCTAAGCGATTACATGAAGCCAACTCTGTTTGTTTGTTAAATTAGCTCAGATTTTAATAATACTTGAAGAAAGTATTGGGTGTACATCTAAGACATCTAAGACCATTTGACGTCAACCACTTTCACCATCTCAGCCAGGTGATCTTAAAGGGGCAATTTCATGTAAAATCAACTTTTTTGAGTTTTATATCATGTTATAATGTTATACTCTCATAAAAAAACATGCCCAAAGTCTTGCTTTGACTCATTCATGCATGTTTGAGAAATCCTGCAGTGTTTTTAGGAAGCCATGCTGAGGAGCAAAACAACAGGTGGGGACCAGAAACGCCCCTGGGTTGTGTCCTTTTGGGACAAGCTCCTCCTCTGGGATGTGTCTTTAAGCTGAACTTCCTCATGGCAGAGGCCCCTCCCCCGCGCGGCCCCCCCCCACCCCGCTCCACGAAATGGGCGTGACCGAAGTGGTTGGATTTTCTTAAAGAGACAGAGACCTATTTCAAGGCGTTTAGAAACTGTCAAGATGAGAAGTAAATGGTTTTGGGGATTTTTACAAATATGTAGCTCTTTCATAAGCTGAAAATGTGACATGGTTACTTTATTTTAGTATAAAATTGAAATATAGGCTTGGAAAACACATAATATCGCCCCTTTAAAAAACTCTAAACTGGCTACAACTCCGCGAATTTTACATATATTAGACTCAAATTTTAAGTAGCAGTAGCCAAAAGTCATTCCTAACACTTCTTCTGCTTTGTGAAAATGAGTAGCTTTAACAGGATCTCATGAGATCATGTGAGATTTTGCACTTAAAAAAAAGATTTGACCTAAACAGCTTTATCCAGGATTAAATTATCTTAGCTAATTCTCTAGCATGGACGTAAATAGAAGATACGTTAAGCCGTTGATTCTAACCTCCTACCTTTTTGATATATTTTTTAAATATTTGTACAARCTTGCTGGTGCAGCACTTTTGACTAAAATCCAACCAAAGATGAGGCTTGTGAGTGCGTGGACTGTGCATGCGTTGCTACTCACTCCTGGGCTCACGGGGTCCGTCCACGGTGACCTTTATGGCTCGGTGATAAGTGGCCACTTGTGGTGGGTTGGTGAATACTGTGATTGTCAGCGTGAAACTCTTGCCTGCGGTGACACAAAAAGAACATCAAATGATGTGCAGTCGGCCGAGACAATGACCGGTATTCATCTCGAAACCATCACCAAGTCACAAGTGTGGAAGGAGATTGCATAGGAGTGATAAAAAAAAAACGGGTGGGTTTGACTTTAAAAACAAGGAGTTAACAACAAACATTTTGTTGATTTAAGGAGGYCTCTGTAGTTGTTTTGGCAAAGCTTGAATAGACGACTGGCTGCAGGAGCCAGTGTCTCATTATCCTGAACCTCTGATGCAGCCTGAGTGGGCGAGAGGCATTTTAATAGTCACTTCCTTTCTCGATAATCCCCAGCAGTTGCTGCCTTGGGGTTGACTTGCTTGTCTGTGCAAGTGCGTACGTTCTAACGTTCACGCGCGAGGAATGCTGTGAATCAGATCGCAACGGCCAAGTCAGCAGCTCCACTAACGACGGAGGCACGCAGATGCATCGTGCAGCGGCAGCTACATGTGTGTGTGTGTGTGTGTGTGTGTGGGAGGGGGAACGGGAAGGGGGAGAGAAAGCTGCAGCGGCTCATGCAAGCAGCTGCCCGTTCAGCTGCAGCCATTCACATGCCCTCCTCCTCCTCCTCCTCCTCTTCCGCCTCACCACTGCTTTTTAAAATAAACATGAGCGATAAGTGCGGGAGGTGGCGGCAGCAGGTGTCCCACATACCTGGTTGGAGGTGCGTGAGGGTGAAGCGGAGCCTGAGGATAAAGTGGGACACGCTGTGCGTCGCCGTCACTCGGGCTCGAGCCACCCCCCGGCGCACGCCAGCTCTATTAAACCTAATGATCTGATCAACCGTATCTGATTCCTCCCTAAATAACCTGTCAGACGTGACACAGACCCCCCCCCCTCCCGCCTCCTTTCATCTCAGCTGGCTCCGCCCTCCTCCTGGCGCACGACTTTTACCTATCTAACATGCTATCAGTTCTCTCCGCTTGTACTTATCTGTCACTGAGGGGGGTATTCATTTCAGACACCTTGTAGTCCGATCTACCCTGGCTCCTGTGTCACTTCCTGTTACTCGATTCTGTGTCACAGAAAATAAGGGGGAGGGGGGCATGTGAGGTTTCTGTGGAAACAGGTACAGCATCCTCTCAGTAATTCCCCTAATCCTTGGTTTCCTCCTGTGTTTGACAGCTGAAGCGGAGCTGCTGACAGCACCTGTACATTACTTTTTTGTTAAAAAAATTAATAAATAAACGGGGTGTATATTTCCAGAGTGCATAAATAGGATGAGAACAAGTCGTCACATTTGAAACGAGATGATTTATTGCCGAGCGATAAGTGGTGCTTTAGTGATGCCAAACATTTCAGGAATGTTCATTTGCAGATCGTCAGTGCAGCAGTCAGAGGATGGGCAGAGAGGGATCAGCGCAGCTCCGACGAGTTTACGAGGCCCAACTGAGCCGGGTCACGTCAGGTGAAAGAAAAAGGACAGAAAATCCATGCTGGACATGTTTTTTTTTTCAGGAGGAAAACGTAAAAGATCCCCCTGGGGTCAAACCTTTCCTCAAGTTAACGCTCAGAGTGTGGGGCAGCTAAAGGAGAGGGGAGGTGGGGGTCTAAGCCCTGGAGTTACAGAGATCATTATGCGGTTGCCACTTAGGGAGCGTGGCCACTAATCCTCACCGCTGAACCTAATCGCTCTGGTCTGAGCTGCCAGAGTGAGCCGAGAGCTCCTGAGAGGCCTCACCTCTGCCGCTGCGGCCCACGAAGCGGAGGTCGTTGAAGCGCGCCACCTGATTCTTCATCACGCCCGAGGCGTTCCGCAGCTCGGCAGAGTAGTTCTCGTCGTTGCCGGCCATCACCGTCACAACCGTACCGTCTGGTATGTCCCCCAGAGCAACCACCTGCCACAAAAGACAGACATTTTAGAAAATGTTGTGGAACAGGACTCCTCCCCCCGTAGCTATAAAACTGTAAACTTGATCTTCATTCTAATTGTTTTYGCTACATGTGAATAAAAAAAATAAATGTCACAACAAAACAAAACAAAAAGATCTTTGAAACGTCACAAAAAAACTATGAGACTCCACATTGTTTCCCATCGTACCATCTGTTCCTCCACATCATGTTGATATACGGATTTAATTTTATTCCCAGCATCATCAGGWTTCTTGTCATTATGTTAAGTCGAGGCCTTGTGTTATCATTAAGATTCTTGGACGCAGATAAAAGAAGGACGAGTATAGGCCCGACGTAATTACAGAGCAATAAGAACGAGTAAATAACACTTAGATATATCGCAGAAAGTGTCACATTTAATCCAAAGCCAGCAACAAATTTTAACAAGCGTCTTTGATCCATCCTTTAAAATATGTCTGCACAGTAATTAATGGGGGCCTTTATGATGAAATAAAAAAAAACTCAAAAGGCCCGAAAAAAAAAAACACTGAAAGCATTTTTTAGAGGCATTAAAAATTTTATGCATGTCGAAGCAGAAAGACTGAAACTTATAAAAGCCTAATTATTGCAAAGACAGGATAATTTGAAAATAATAAATATTTAAGGG